ATATATATATATATATTGCTGTGGTGTGATTCTTTTAGTTCTTTTGGAAAGATACCCAGCAGGGGAATAGCTGGGTCAAGTGGGACCTCTCATCCTATTTCTTTGAGGTGTCTCCACACTGATTTCCATAGTGATTGCAACAGTGTACACTCCCACCAACAGTGGATCAGGGTTCTTTTCTCCCCACAGCCCTGCCAATATTTGTATTGCTTGATTTCTTGATAGCAGCCATTCTTTCTGGGGTGAGGTGGAATCTCAGCATTGTTTTAATTTGCACCTTTCAAATGACCAGTGATGTTGAATATTTTTTCATATGTTTATTTGCTATTTCTACTTCTTTGTCTAAGAAATGTCTGTTGATTTCACATGCCCATTTTTGGTCTGGGTCTTTACATTTGGGAGGTCTCTAGCTTCACTTTTTCCTAGTAGACTTAAAAGTTTAGTGGTCATACAGTTTGGCAATTCATTCTCAGCTTCCCACTTGCTTTGCTGTTGATAACACAGAAATACATGTTATAATAAAAGGTTTCTGGGTTACCTTTCAGAAACTTGAAAGGATCTTGTCAACGACAACACTAAATCTTGCTGTTCAGTGACTCAGCTAGAAAAAAAGAAGTGTAATCTTTGTTTTCAAATTAGAGGTGTTCTCGTCCCTGTCTTAACCCTTGGGGTCTTCTTCTATTCAGGTCTGCATGTAGACAGACTTTATCACTTTAAAAATGGTTTGTACATAACTGTATTACAGGGCTACTACCTGCTGAAACTGATATGTGTTTTCTTTCTTGCTCCCATCTTTTTGGTGCCCACTCTTATGCTTCTTCAACGGCTGCCTCAGCCTCACCACCCCTAACATCTTTCAGCCCTATTATACAGTCTGGGTCAAACCAAAAGGCCAAAATGAGTGTATGGGTGATGATGCCAGTTGCAGGTGTAGCTAAATAAATTCCCAAGAGAAGCTCACTTTGGCCACCTAGTTGGCCAAGCAGGCTAGTCAACCTTGGTCTAAAGTTGTAAAAGAAGAGACACTGTCTCGGACCATGTCTGGGTGATAGGAAAGTTACTTCACTTCTAGCCCACCCTGACAAATCCATAAAAGCTCACTGCTTTCTCTCTTCTGTGAGCAGCTTAATCCCGCTGTTCTCGATCACTACTATCTCCCTTCAGCTGATGTTCTTCTTCCTCCTCACCCCTCTCCAGTTAAAGTCTTGCCTGGGTATATGGCTGCAATACTTAGCTTAGTCTTATTTCTATCATTTCTAAGTCAAAAATCCTATCACTATCAATTTGGCTCAGAAAGTTATTAAATCCTTAATACCAGTGTGTGAATGTGTACACTAGGGGGTGATTCGAGCATATTTAGTGAGAAAATAAACCAGAAAAATAAGCTTTTGAATGAAAAGATCCAACTGCAGTTATAAGTGTGCTCACTGTATGAATATATGTGGTCTAAATGAAAACTACAGGAGCTTCAGGGCACATCCGTCCTCTGTAGAGCTGTACGTCTGAGAAAGGAAATCAAGAATTATCCAAGTTGATATTAATTAGTGCCAAGAAAAATCTACATAGACGTGTATTTTATTATTACGTTTGATATAAAATAAACCCTGCACATTTATTGTGAGGAATTGGCACACATACACACTGCATTGTGATCCCTTTAGTTCCCTTCTCTTTCCTCCTCAATCCCCCAATCCTTTCCTCTCTTTACAAAATCTGTCTCACTGTTTTCTATCATTTTTATTTCACTCTTACAGTTATTTATACTTTGGGTTTCTTATATTAATTCCTTATGTAAGAAAGATATTTAACCTTCTGTGTCTGATTTATTTCACTTAACATTATGTTTTCATGGCACATACATATTCTTACAAATGTCTCAAATGTATTCATTCCTATGGCTGAGAAGTACTCCACTGAGCATACATGTAACATTTTGTTTGTTCGTTTTTCTGCGGATGGGGATATAGGCCACTTCCAAGATTCAGCTGTTAAGAATTGTGCCACTGAATATGCATGTCTCACTGTAATATTGTACCTTTAACTCTATCTGGAAAGTAGCTAGAAAAGATGTAGTTGGAGCAAATGCAATTTCTGATTCTTTTGTGTTTGGAATTTCCATACTGATTTCAATAGTGGTTGTACTAATTTACATTCCCACTAACAGGGAAGAAGGTTTCCTTTTGGTGCTACAACCTCAACAGTATCTGTTGTTCTTTTGTTTTGTTTTTGAGTTTTTAAAGATAGTTATTCTTTCTGGAATAAGATGGAATCTTGGAATCTCAGTGCTTTGATTTGCACTTTTTTAGTGGCCAAAGATATCAAATATTTTTATGTATCTATGAAGAAAGAAAAAGTTCAAATTACAAAAGAGTGAAATATATAAAGATTATTAAGATAAAACTTGGATAGATAACCAAATCAGATAATCACTTGATTAAGATATTAAAAGTAGTTTTATAAAAGTAGAAGAAACAATAAAATCTGTAGAAGGATATTTACATATTTTCATAGGGTTTAAATGGATGTCACCAAAAACTTTAAAGTAAAATGTAACTTGAAATTTAACAGTAAGTCTTACAAGAAATTTTTATGAGATACCAGTAAATACTACAAGACACTAAAGGAGGTAGAGATATACGGGTACAGTGGTACATGTTTGTAATCCCAGCCTAAAGTTAAAGCAGGAGGATTTCAAGTCTGAACCCAGCCTGGACAACTTAATGATTTGGGGAGAGAACCTGTCTCAAAAGGATAAAAAGAAAAGTGTATAAAATTCCATGAAGACTACATATGTAATATTCAGTAATGATGTTGAAATCTCTTCCTCATTCTTCTATTGTAAATGATTATAATATAATAATATAACTATAAAAGTTACAAAAATGTTTCAGTGGGGCTAAATAATGTCAAATCCATACAGACAGAAGAAAAACAAGAAAAACAAGACAATTAAAAAGTAAGCTCTACTACAGGATATTAATACAAAATTACAATGATTAAATTTCTTTTCAGTACTGGGGACTGAAGTCATGACCTTGTGCTTGAAGGCGGGGCAATGCCATTAAGTGATTAAATTTTTGATCTATGTACAAAAATGATTAGTGAAATAGATTAATGGAATTCAATAAAACAGAGTAATAAGTGTATGAGTTTACTATAGATTAGTTTCATTAGTTATATAATGAAATATTGTTCATAAAGTATAAATAGGCTTCTGTATTAATGTGTGGTTCATTAAATATTTAATGCAAATATTTACATACACTCTTGGAACTAAATATGTTAGGGCTAGCCTTATATAGATTACACATTTATCTGGAGCTACACTAA